CAGCAAGAGGAGTGAGGACTGGGACTAAGTGTTCCTGTGCTAATGCCCACTGGCAAGCACATGGGCTGGGCTTCTGGAGGTAGTATAGTTATGCTGGTAGATTCCGGTTGTGCTCTGGGTGTGAGGTCTCTTGTTTGTTTTCTAAGTTTGAGCCTCTTCTTCTAGCAAGTCTTCTAATAAATCCATTTATATATTTAGCTAGAGGTGGTTCTGATTGTAATCCCAAACTGTGGCTGCTACAGAAACCTCCCTTTGAAAAAGGGCTTGTGGTGGGGTGTTGTGGTTAATCCCAGCACTCCACTAGGGAGGCAGAGGCAGACCAGCCTGGTCTACAGAGTGAGTTCCAGGATAGCCAGGGTTAAATAGAGAAATCCTGTCTCATGAAGAAAAAAAGAAAAAGGGTATGTGTCCTAGTTCTGGCCATCCCAGAGTAATTGGTAGGAAATTTGCCTTCTGTCAGTCCTGCACACAGGCAGCATAACTTTTGGCCATGGTCAGCACAGCTGTGCTCTCTGGAAGAGGTAAGGTTCAGGTCTTCTGAAGTCAGCTGGCTGGTGTGGGGAGATGGGCAGGATGGAGTGCAGACTTCATACAAGGGACAGCTTCAGTGGAGGACAGTGCTGTACTTGGATGCTGCCCCCTTGGGGCTTAAGTAGCATTGCAAGCAACCCAAGTGGAGAGCAGCTCTAAAGGCCGGCCCTGCGCTTGGAGAGGACACATCCGGGTTAGCGCTTGGCTTGGCTTGAAAAATTTCAAGACGTTTAAACAAGGGGATCTCTATAGTTTGTCCTGGTGGAATACAAAGCTGAGAAAAACGCTGCTGGAGGCAGGAAATTGAACTAAGACTTCGGAAGCAGTGCTGCCTGGGGCAGGAGCCACTCTAGCCTAGCCCGACATGAGACTCTGAATGCATTGGAGAGAGACCCCACACCCCAGTCACCCCAGAAGGAAGAACGAATCTTTTCCAGTATTTAAGCAAAAGTCCCAGGGAAGGCCTGTTTCTTGAAGGAAATGCCATCATTTTCCATCCCAAAGTTTCCATTTTCCAACCTTGAGATTGGGATTGACATTCGTCCCACCAGAACATGCATTGCAGGAACTCTTGGGAACAAGACAGATGCTGTGCTGAGTGGTGTCAACTTGAAATGGGTCAAGATCCTCTGGGTGGTGGCACTCAGATGTAATCCCAGCCCCCAGGAGGCTAGCGGGCAATGACATGATTTGAAGGCCAGCCTGGGCTATGTAGTGAGATCTAAGCCAGTCAAAGCTGTATAGCAAGATCCTGTTCTCCCCCTCCAAAGAGTGGAGACAACAGACTAAAGAGTAGCTCTGTCTGGAGAACTGTGTGCAGCTTTATCTGGCAGATTGTTAGTACCAGGGCCAAGTCCTCCTCGTCTGCATGGAGAGATTTCGGGACCAAGCTGTGAGATGTAGCATTCAGTTAAGGATGACATCCTACTGGCTTGTCATTTTCCCCACCCCATCCATGGTGATAGCTGATCTGGAGCAGTCAGTGTAGCCCCTGGGGGAACCCAGGGCAGTTCTCCCAGGTTCCTTGGTTTCCATAACATTGGGCCCTGGTGCCTGTGCCCTTGGGAAAGCCTCAAATGCTCTGTCACAGGCTTATGTGAGTCAGGGTTAGACATTCTGGCCAGTTCCCAACAGAACTCCTCTACATGGCAGATGTGTCTGGCCGGGTGTGGTTCAAGGCCGTCCCTTTCAATACTAAGCAAGTAGTGAACCATTTAGCTATACCTTGACTACTATGCTTTTCCAAGATAGAGTAATAAGTATTGCTCAAGATATGGAAAAATCAGAACCCATATGAATTGTTGGGAGAGCGTTATGATAGTGCCATGATAGTGTCTTCAAAAATAAAGAACCCTAACTCCTAACCCCTAACCCCTAACCCTAACCCTGGACATATAGCTCAGTTGGTGGACTGCCTAGCATGCATGAGGCCTTGGATTCTCTTCCCAGCAATGTATACACTGGGTATGGTGGCACACATACATGTAATTCTAGAACTTGGATGTATTCCATTTGTGTGGGGGCACATTCATTTCTCTATTTGTGTGTGCTAACATTTATTTACTTATGTGTTTACATTTATTTATTAATTACATGGGGCACATGTGGAGCTGTTGGTTCTTTTTGTTTTGTTTTGTTTTTTGAGGGAGGGTTTCTCTGTAGCTTTGGAGGCTGTCCTGGAACTCACTCTGTAGACTAGGCTGGCCTCGAACTCACAGAGATCCATCTGCCTCTGCCTCCCGAGTGCTGGGATTAAAGGCAAGCGCCACTACAGCCCGGCTGGTTCTCTTTTTTTTAACACGTATTTGTGTGCGTGTGTACATACTGCAGAGTATATGTGGAGGGACCAGCTGATGAGAGTAGCCAATACAACACGGAATATAATATTTTTATTTACCAGAATAAGAACCTACACACAAAGGATGGAGGGTCAGAAGCGTGTCCGGCAGTCTTCCAGAGGAAGAAGGAGAGGAGGGATTTTCTCTTTCACTTCCTTTTATCCTAAATTTCCTTATCCCCGCCCCCAGGGCGGATAGCTTTGTGGGGCTCACCCCCACATGTGGGAGTCTGTCTTCTCCTTCTAGCATGTGGGTCCCAGGGGTCAAACTCAAGCCATCAGGCTTGGTGGCAAGTGCCTTTCCTCTCCGAGCATCTCTCTGGCATCCACCTTGCTTTGAGGCAAGGTCTCTCTTTTTTTTAATTGTGTTTATATTTTATGTATGAATGCTCTGCATCAGGGCCTATTACAGATGTTTGCGAGCCATTATGTGGTTGCTGGGAATTGAACTCAGGGCCTCTGGAAGAGCAGCAGGTGCTCTTCACTGCCGAGCTGTCCCTCCGGCCGAGGCAAGGTCTTTAAGTATATCCTGCTGGGCTACTTACTAAGACTTCTGTCAGCTTCCTACCTCTGCTTCCCAGCTCACCTTTAGAGCGCTGGGGTAACAGGTGTAGGCCACTTCATCTGTGAATGGCAAGACTTTTACCTACCGAGTCATCTTGCTGGCCCTAATCTTAGTACAGGAAGTGGAGGCGAGAACATCAGAAGTTTGAGTTTGGGATTAGAGAGATATTTCAGTGGTTAAGAATGCTTCTTTGTAGAGGCAGGCAGATCTCTGTGAGTTCAAGGCCAGCCTGGTCTACAAGAGCTAGTTCCAGGACAGCCTCCAAAGCCACAGAGAAACCCTGTCTCGAAAAACCAAAAAAAAAAAAATTATTTGATGGGTATAGTGCTGCACACCTTTAATCCCAGTCCTAAGGAGGCAGAGGCAGTGCATCTTTTCTTTTGGATAATTTTTTTTTTTTAGTTTTTCAACACAGGGTTTCTTTGTGGCTTTGGAGGCTGTCCTGGAACTAGCTCTAGACTGGTTTCAAACTCACAGAGAGCCACCTGCCTCTGCCTCCCGAGTCCTGGGATTAAAGGTGTGTGCCACCACCACCTGGCTCAAATAAAAATTTTTAAAAAGCAACATATGGAAAGGAAGGATTTACCCTGGTACAGTTGGAGGACATGTTCCACATATCAGGGATAACACCCTGACAGGAGCCTGAGGCGGCTTCCTCAATGGAGGAACATACTGTAAGCCAATTTTATGTGTCTAAGAAATTAAACAAAACTCAACTATAACAAAAGCAACCAGTTAATTAAAATGGAGGCAATGACCTGTGAGACGACCAGTGCTCTTAAGCGCTGAGCCGTCTCTCCAGCCCCTCTAACTGCCTTTTGAGAGAGGATCTCACTACGCTTGAGTTCAGTTTTGGCTAGCCTGGTTGGTTGGCCAGCAACTAGTCTCCCCTCCACGTCCTGGTTTACAGACCCCAGCCAATGGCCTGGCTTTTACATGGGTTCCGGAAATCCAAACGCAGGTCCTCGTGCTTGCATTAAGGGGCATTTTTGAGAAAAGCACGTTTATAGGATGCTGTATGAGCAAAAGCTACCGTCGTACAGAAATTTCCAGCTTGGCGGATTAGGACTCTTTGTCGTTCAACCGAATGTGCTTTTGGTCTGATTCATCCAAATAGGGCATGGCCAGACCCACATTCCTGAGGTTCTGTTCTAAGGCCTTACAGCTGGAAGCCAGCTCCCACAGAGCGCTGGTGAACTACCGAGGGACCCTCCACAGCCCCGCCTTTCCCTATCCATGCTTTTCCTGTTCTTTTTTGTTTTTGAGGCAGGGTCTCACACAGTTCAAGCCGTCTGCAACTCAACGGCCGTCCTGTCTCAGTCTACCTGGAGGTGGGTTACAAGCATGTACCTCCCTGCTTCGAAGCATTTGTATTGACTATACATACACCTTAGGCCTCACGATGAAATGGGAAAGACCCCGAACCTTGTTGTGGGGGGGGGGAGGAAAATAATTACAGGTAGATTCTGGCCAGGATCCTGTTTAAATAGCTTCCTCCTGGAGAAAAAGCCTATTTTTAGAAAGTAGGACATTTAAAAGGTATTTCATAATCTTTCCGGTAAGGGGGCTGCTTGTGCTAACTCCCGAGTTTAAGAGGCGCTCAAAGGAACCTAGCAGGAAGCGGTTGCCAGTGCAGGATGCCGATGCGGGTCCTGGATCTCCGCCCAGGGATGCCTGTTCTCATTTCCGCAGCGTAAGCCGCGCCGCAGGACCCCGCCCGACCTTGAAGGGCCGCTCGACCTTGAGGTCAGTGTTTGCCTCAGTTACTCCCTCCGTGCAATGGGAAGATGCGCGTTATCGCGGGGTGGGGGGTGCGGAGGCCCCGACGCGCTCCTAAGGACAGCCAGATTGCAGGGCCACCCTCCCCAGCTGCGCTCAGACTCTTCCCCCATCGACCGCGCTGCAACCACCCCGTAGGAGCCCGCGGGCGGGAACCTGCCTCCGCGCGCTACGGCGCACGCGCGCCTCGCTCCCCGCCCCGCCCCGCTCATAGGCCGCCCTCGCCGTCACTCCGCCTGGGAAGCAGTTGCGATTGACCGAGGCCCGGGCGCGCGACCGGCCGTGGGCGGGGCCAGGCCGGCTATAAAAGCCGCGGGCGGCCAGGCTCGTGCCGCTTTGCAGACCCCGCCGTCCCCTGTCGCCTCTCTTTGCAGCCATGGTCAACCCCACCGTGTTCTTCGACATCGCGGCCGATGGCGAGCCCTTGGGCCGCGTCTCCTTCGAGGTCGGGTGGGCGGCGGTGCTCCAGGGTGGGGTCCTGGGGACGGGGGTGTGGGGGTGGGAGGCGCCCCCGGGCGCGGGGCCCACCCTCCCGGGGAGCGAGCGAGCGCGGGCGGCGGCGCCATTTCCTGACGAGGGGCCATTTTGGGAGGCGGGCGCGGCGCGGTGCGGGAGTCCGGGCGGACAAAGCCGGGCGGGGCGCGGCCGTTGGGGGAGGGGACCGTCCCCTCCCCCGCGTGGCCTGCCCGCAGGCGCACGTGGCTGCGCCCGGTGGGGCCCTGCGCGGCCCGGCGCACGTGCTCGGCGCGCCTCTGCCGTCTCGGAGCCGTTGAGTCCCGCCCAGCCGCAGAGACCCCGGCCCGCTGCCTTTGCGTGGGATCCGGGCAGAGACCCCGGCCCGAGGTCTCGAGCTCGAAGGCTCGGGGAGCCGGTGCGCGCGCTCGGGAGCCCCGGCAGATCTAGGAGCCCCTGCTGGGGATGTAGGGTGTGTTCGGGCGTTCCTCTGTCTGGCTCGAAGCAGGCACGTGTGTTTAGGGGCAAAGAGCGTCCCTCTGCATCCCCCACCCGGCGGGCGGAAGCGGGCCAGGCCTGTGCCGGTGCCCAAGGACCGCCTCCCGTCGCAGAGATGGCGCAGCGGGGGAGGCGCTCTGGAGCCCCTCCCGATTGCCCTCTGAGGAACAGGCGTGTTAGGACTGGCCACGCTGCAGTCCTGCGTTGACCAAGGTGGATTGCCAGTGGTTAGTTACCTAATTGCTTTGGGAGGTGTTAAATGGCTGCTTAAAGATCAGATAATAATTAGTATCCTAAGCAATTGGCATGTTTCTTTTACGAAGTTAAATATTCTCGTTAACTGCAGTACCAGGCCTTAGGCCATAGTGAAATAGGGTTGCTTAGTGTCTGTTAAACTGTTTCTGCAAAACTGCCAGTGGTTAGGTTTTGATGCTCTTAATTCCAAAACTAGATTCCCCCATTGCCCACCCACCGCGGCCACATGTAGTAGGCGTATAAGCTTTAGCCAGCGTTTATCTAGTGAGGGCTGATAGTTGACAAGGGCTTTTGTGGAAAGTTGGCCTAAGCTTAGTGCTGGGCAGCAGGTTAGTTTCAGGTTAGCCGGAGCCTACTGGAAATGACGAGCCTGTAGGTCCACGGGTGAGAAGAATGTAGATGCTACAACTGACCCACTATCTTGGTTGAGGTGCAAGTTGGTTTTCAACTAGCTAGGAAAGGGTTTGTAAACATTTAAGGTTCAAAGCACCTACTAGTATGTAAAGAGCCTAGCTACCAGTGCTAAAAAGCTATGCTGTAACAGGTTGGAGGTGGTAGCATTTCTCATTGCCAGTGACTAACTTGCAGGTTATCGACCTGATTGTGCATTGTGTGACAGTACTTTCAGAGTTTTTGGCTTAGGTTCCAACATGGTTAGGGGAGGTGGCAACGTACATTTGAGAAGCCTGAAGTCCATTCAGAAGTAGGTGTGATGTATTAAAAGCTCTTGAGTCACATTTAAGGAGTCTGTCGCTATTTCTAAAGTCGTGACCAGTTCCAGATTTTTGGCATGTTTTTGGTTCTCATGTTTCTCAACCCAACCTTTAAAAGCTTATGAGTGGTTCTTACTGGGATTTGAAGATTGTTACTGACGTAGTGTTCTCTCCTAGTGAGAAGATGAATTTACGATGTACAAATCCCTAAAGCTAAAGGCATTACCGTGTGAATATTCACCTATGTACTAATTAGCTGTCATTTCTTTCCTTACAGCTATTTGCAGACAAAGTTCCAAAGACAGCAGGTTGGTTTCATATTCTAAATTTAACAAATTATATGAACAAAATAATTTAAAGAGAAAGTACATATGTAAACACTGCGTTTTTGTTTCTAACAGAAAACTTTCGCGCTCTGAGCACTGGAGAGAAAGGATTTGGATATAAGGGTTCCTCCTTTCACAGAATTATCCCAGGATTCATGTGCCAGGTAAGAACGACTGAGCTTTTAGTTGTTGCTTTAGTTTAGGGTGGAGCCAGAGTGCTTAGTTGTACTTCACTTGGGCAGCATTGTGTCTTTTTGTTTGCAGCCAGCATAGTTTCTTGCGTGTGCTGGTAACTGCACAGGTGCAGGCCTGTTCTCCATCCCGTGTCCTGGGGGTTGGGTTCAGGTCTAACAGGCTAGTGGCTCATTCCTTCACCCAGTGAGGCCCCAGCACAGGGTTTTGTTTTGACCTTAAACTACTTATCCTTGTGCCTCTTCTGTGTGCTGGGATTCCAGATGTGTCTACACACAAGCTTTCTAGAATCTTGGACTAGGGTGAGCCCTGTGAGGTGCTTGCCACACAAGGATCCCAAAACTGTGAGGACCCGAGATCCAGAGTTTGGTAAAATCTGGATGTGGTGATGCTTGCTCTGATGCTTTCAACCAGCCTGGCCTTTGAACAAAAGGTGAATGACCCTTGCAGGATGGCAGTTGAGATAACACAGCAACAAATTAGAAATGATGTAAAAGGCTGTGCCTTACATACTTTACCGTTACATTGCTGAAGTGACAGATTTCTGTTTGATGTAACAGGGTGGTGACTTCACACGTCATAATGGCACTGGCGGCAGGTCCATCTACGGAGAGAAGTTTGAGGATGAGAACTTCATCCTGAAGCACACGGGTCCTGGCATCTTGTCCATGGCAAATGCTGGACCAAACACAAATGGTTCCCAGTTTTTTATCTGCACCGCCAAGACCGAGTGGTAAGAAATGCAGTGAATGTATCTGTTTGAAAGAGCACAACACTGCTGATCGTGTATCAGTGTGCCATCTTCTGTTAGTTGCTGATGGTAGTCACTCTTCCTGCAGGCTGGATGGCAAGCACGTGGTCTTTGGGAAGGTGAAAGAAGGCATGAACATTGTGGAGGCCATGGAGCGTTTCGGGTCCAGGAATGGCAAGACCAGCAAGAAGATCACCATTTCCGACTGTGGGCAACTCTAATTCTTCTGACTCGACGGCCTATTACCCACCAGACCATTCCCTCTGTAGCTCAGGAGAGCATCCCGCCTCCACCCCATCTGCTCGTAATGCCCCGTAATCTCTGCTCTCACTGAAATTCTTTGGGTTCCATATTTCCCCTCAAGTCTAGCTGGATTGCAGAGTTAAGTTTATGATTATGAATAAAACCTAAGTAAAAACTGTTTGTCCTTGTTTGTATTGAGGTGTTGATACAGGTCTCTTTTAGCAGCTGGTTGGACTCCAGAAGGCTTTTTTTTTTTTTGGTTTTTCGAGACAGGGTTTTCTCTGTGGCTTTGGAAGCTATCCTGGAACTAGCTCTGTAGACCAGGCTGGTCTCGAACTCACAGAGATCCGCCTGCCTCTGCCTCCCGAGTGCTGGGATTAAAGGCGTGCGCCACCAACGCCCGGCTCCAGAAGGCTTTTTAAGATTTATTTATTATGCAGTGTTTGTCTGCATGTATGCCTGCATGCCAGATAGTTGTGAGCCACCATATGGTTGCTGGGAATTGAACTTGGGACCTCTGGAAGAGCTATCTCTCCAGCCCCTCCTGTAAATCTTATGTTTCTGTGGAGGGTGGGGACTGCTGTGTGTGTGTCCGTGTAAATTTGAAATCTAGAGCTTATAACTTTTATCAGGCAAGCCATCTTTGAGCCCCAGATTTGTTTTGCCCAGAGGTATCAGGAAGGAACAAAAGTGAGTAGAAGGTAAGCCTTCCTAACCTGATTTAACCTTGAAAGCCATGTAAAGATGTAAGGCCAAAGTTGACTTCTGGCCAGGAAAGCCTCTTTTAGTCTTGGGGTACTGGGTGCATGAGCATGAATACATACAGGCAAAACAGGGTTCGGAACTTGGTGCATGTTTGTTTATGGTGTGGAGGATTCAGAGTTCTTGGAGCTGGAGTTACAGATGGCCCTGGGCCTCCTGATGTGGATATTGAGAATTGGACTCCAGTCCTCTGCGAGTGTTCTGTCAACTTACTAAATGCTTTTTAGTTTGTAGTTTGGGGATACATGTGGAGACTTTAGGGCAACTTTCAGGGTTTGTTTCCTAGGACTTGACCTCAGGTCTTCAAAGTTTGTGGCAAGTACCCCTTCCCCACCTAGCTGTTCCCCACCAGGCTCTACAGATCTAATTTTAAAAAGTGGCTGTTCCCCATTCTCAAAACAATGCTGTGTCTAGTCCAGTGTGGCGGCCCATTTACTCCCAGCACTCTGGAGGCAGAGTTCTAGGCCACCCTGGTCTACAGAAAAAGTTCGAGGTCAGCCAGGGTGGCAGAGAATCCCTGTCTGAAAAACAAGGCGGTGTCTCTTAATTCTACCAGTCTGCTATACATCTGTAGCAACCAGGGATGTTTGACATACATGATACAATTAAAAAACCAAACAAAGAGCCGTGTGGAGAATTGGTATAGACCTGTCTTTAGGCACCTTAGGAAGTAGAGACAAAAAGTATCAAGTTTAAGGCTAGGCTCTTCATATAAGTTTCAGACCAGCCGAAGCTGAATGAGACAAACCAGAGCCTCACACATACAAACAATGTCCTACCACTGAGCTATGCCCTCAGAATGATCCCTATCCTTTTCCCCCTTGCAGTAACTTTAGGAGATTGGTGTAAAGTAACTCTTCACTGAAGCTTTGGCAGGCTCTTGTAGGTCAGGCTGCCTTTGAACTCAGATTTGCCTTTAAGTGGAAATGTGTTTTGGCTATGCTTCAGTGAATAGACAGACATACTAGCGTCACTAGTTGAATTCAGTGGTTATTTTTAAAAATAAAGACATGGAATTGGGTGGAGGGTGTTAAGGAGTATTTATGAGGGAGTTGGAGGAAAATGGATTGCATGCATGAAACTCTCAATATATAAAAATATTTTTTTAGCCGGGCGTTGGTGGCGCACGCCTTTAATCCCAGCACTCGGGAGGCAGAGGCAGGCGGATCTCTGTGAGTTCGAGGCCAGCCTGGTCTACAGAGCGAGTTCCAGGACAGCCTCCAAAGCCACAGAGAAACCCTGTCTTGAAAAACCAAAAAAAAAATTTTTTTTAAAGTTTCAAGATATTTTATTAGCTTTGTCTAACAGCCCTAATTCTGGATTGCCAGAATATTTTGTATTTTCTACCAGTTTATTTTCTGTAAAAAATGGAAGTTTAGGCCTAGAAGCTTGCTTATTTATTTGAGACAGTTGCACTGTGTAACTCAGGCCAATCTCCCAGTGCTGGGATATGGGCACAGGCCACTGCTCAACTTCAAGCTCATTACTGGAAAGATTTCAGAGGGACTGCTGTATTCTCAAGTTTTTCTCTTAACCAAGAGGTATAAAATGGAAAGCTGACTCAGCACTAAGGCTAAAGTCAAACGTGAGGTTAAACTGGTATCGGTCAGATCTCTGGAGATTGAGGGAGGGGGCGTAGGCAGAGATGGGGTGCTGGTGGTGGAGCAGGCTTTCACTTTCTAGCTCAGCCTGGCTTGGAACTCAGTATGTAATGCAGGCTGACCTCAAGTTCACAGCACTCTCAGACATTTCCAAGTGCCGGAATTACCAGTGTGAGTCCATGTCTGGCTTGGAAAGGTACCATTTGTTTTTTCTGTGGATCAGGTATCCTGAGGGGTAAAGACCCTCTCTCTTGTTTGCCCTTTCACCTGATGGTGTTATTTTGATATCAGTTAAAGACGTTGGCCTTGGCCCTTCCTTGCTGGATACTGCAGAAGAGAGGGGGCCCCAACTTCACTGGTGAGCTGTCCCTCCCCCAGGAGAGAGATGTCCTTACCAGAGCTGACTACCTGTCTCCTGAGGAGCAAGGCTGCAGTGGCCAGCTCAGCCACCAGGCCTGGGGTTGGCCGGCCTACCATCTACCCCACCTAGGGCCTGCTGAGGTGCATGAAGGGACGGGTCTTGTGGAGTGACATCCCGCAGGATCTCTAAGCTGCTGTGGGAAGTCCAAAAGGAGTTGGTGAGGATCCAGTGACGATGGTGTACAGGAAGCCAGAGGCCTTGAAGCAGACAGTGACCACTGCAGTGACCATGTGTAAACAAAGTTGACTGGCAGATGGGTATACTAGATGACTCACCGAGGCTCCCAATGCCACCAGGACAAATGAGGTGTTGGAGAGGCAGGAAAGATGGCACAGAGAAGAGGGGTTTTTGTTTTGATTTTTTAACAATTTTCTTTTGGTGGTGGTGCTGCAGGGATGAGGAAAGGATATGGAGTTGAATGGAATTGTATCAGTTATACCCCTCCTCCTCCTGTCATTGTGACTTAGATTCTTTTTTTAAACACTTTTTAATTATATATTTAAATTAGAAACGAGCTGCCTTCCCATGTCAGTCTCAGCTCCCTTTTTTTTTTTTAAAGATTTATTTATTACATATACAGTGTTCTGTTTACACTCCAGAAGAGGGCACCAGATTGAATTGTAGATGGTTGTGAGCCACCGTGTGGTGGCTGGGAATTGAACTCAGGACCTCTGGAAGAGCAGTCGGTGCTCTTAACCTCTGAGCCATCTCTCCAGCCCCCTCAGCTCCCTCTTTCTCCCCTCTACGCCCACTCCCCCCAGCCCCCCACCCAATCTTTTCTGGATCTGGGCTACATCACTTAGGGTGTTTTTTTCTAGTTCCGCCCATTTGCCTGCAAATTTCAATGTCATTTTTTTTTTAACCACTGAGTAAATGTGCCACATTTTCTTTATCCATTCTTGAGTTGAGAAACATCTAGGTTGTTTCCAGGTTCTAACTATTAGGAATAATGCTATGAACAATGAACATAGTTGAGCAAATGTCCTTGTGGTGTGCATATGCATCCTTTGGGTGTACGCCCAACAGTGATAATTCTGGGTCTTGAGGTAGATTGATTCCCAATTTTCTGAGAAACGATCATACTGATTTCCAAAGTGGCTGTACAAGCTTGCACTCCCTTCAGCAGTGGAGGAGCGTTTCTTTTACTCTAGCATAAACTGTGGTTGGTGTTTTTGATCTTAGACATTCTAACAGGTATAAGATGGTATTTCAGAGTTGTTTTGATTTGCATTTCTCTGATGGCTATGGATTTAGAGCAATTCCTTAAACATCTTTGTGTAATCTGAGATACTTCTGTTCTCTGAGAATTCTCTATTTAGATCAGTACTCCATTTTTAAATTGGATTATTTGGTATTTTGGTGTCCAGTTTCTTGTTTATGTTTTGGAGATCAGCCTCTGTCAGATGTGGGGTTGGTGAAGATCTTTTCCCATTCTATAGGGAGCCATTTTGTCTTTTTTTTTTTTTTTTTTTTTTCTGAGACAGGGTTTCTCTGTATTGCTTTGGAGGCTGTCCTGGCATTTGCTCTGTAGACCAGGCTGGCCTCAAACTCACAGAGATCCGCCTGCCTCTACTTCCCAAGTGCTGGGATTAAAGGTGTGTGCCACCAACGCCCGGCCCCATTTTGTCCTGTTGACCGCGTTCTCTGCCTTACAGAAGCTTCTCAGTTTCAGGAGGTCCCATTTATTAACTGTTGCTCTCAGTGACTGTGTTGCAGGTATTATATTTAGGAAGTAGTCTCCTGCGCGAATGTGCTCAAGGGTAGTTCCCACTCTCTCTTCTATGAGGTTCAGTGTGGCAGGATTTATGTTGAGGTCTTTGATCCATTTGGACTTGAGTTTTGGGCATGGCAACAGATGATTTATTTGCATTCTTCTACTTGCTGACCTCCAGTTATGCCAGCACCATTTGTTGAAGATACTTTCTATTTTCCATTGTATAATTTTAGCTTCTTTGTTGAAAAATCAGCTGTTCATGGGTATGTGGATTAATATCAGGGATTTTGATTCAATTCCATTGGTCCAGCTGTCTGTTTTTGTGCCAATACCAACTGTTTTCATTACTGTAGTTCTATAATAGAGCTTAAAGTCAGGGGTGGTGATGCCTTCCAAAGTTTCTTTATTGTAGAGAGCTGTTTTAGCTATCTTGGGTTTTTCTATATGAAATTGAGTATTGTTCTTTCAAGGTCTGTGAAGAATCTTGCTGGGGACTGCATTGAATCTATAGATTACTTTTGGTAAGATTGCCATTTTTACTTTGTTAATCCTATCTAGCCAAGAGCATGGGAGAATTTTCTAATTTCTGGTATCTTCTTTAATTTCTTTCTTTCTCTTTTTTTTTTTTGAGACAGGGTTTCTCTGTATTTTTTTAGAGGCTATCCTGGAACTTGCTCTGT